GGGGCGGTGTCCTTGGGACTGCTCCAGTGCTCAGAGCGAGGAGGTTTTGGCAGTGGCTGTCTGGGAAGGGGATCTGCAGCTCTGGGCTCGGTTCGTGCCTCGTTCTAGGGTAGTACCAGAGGCAAACGGTTCTCCGTGTGCTAGTAGACTGTGGTGGAACACTATGGAATGTTTTCATTAAACTAGGGATGGGAATCCATATAATGAAGCTTAACAGATGGGCATGTTTAAGTTGTTTCCTCTATACCCCTCATACTGTAAATAGTTTAGTTGGCTTTCTTTTGTTTTTAAAAAAACCTGTATGTGGGGAGAGGGGCTGGGAGGGAGGGGTGACATTTGTTTGCATGAATAAGTGGGTTAAACTGCTATAGGCATGTGTCCCTTTTTTGGTTGTTAGGGAATTTTGTTGAAAAAGCACCTTGATGACTGAACCCCTTACATAGCTAGAACTTTTTTAGTTATGCATTGACCTAGGTTACTGTAAAAGCTTGGATTTATTTTTGTAGGACTTTATTGCTAAGAACTAGAACATAGCAGTGGGGCTGCTCCTTGGAGTAATGTAAATTGTAATTATAATAAACATGTAAATGTTTAAATGTTTCCCTCCTACTTTGTTCTGTGCATAGTTCAGTAACATTGGCCCATATGACTTGTCAGGTGCCTGTCCAGGCAGGGCTCAAATCTCAGCCTGAGAAAACCACACTGCAGAGCTCTGGCAGGCTGCAGAGTGTTCCCCAGTGTTGAAAAAGGATTTAAACCCCTCATCCAGGCACTGCCCATGAAAGTTGCCATGTTCCTGCACTCCCAGCTCATGGAACCAGATGAATGTCTCAGTCCCCAGAACCACCCTGGGTGCACCTCTGCATGGCCAAGTCCTGGGCTGCTGGTGCTTGGAGGTCTGTGTGCCAGTGGCCACAAATTCCCTCAGTGTCTGGGGGCATGTGCTGAAACAGCTTCTGCAGAAGCTGCTGCAAGCCTCTGGTTTCTCTGCTGGCACAAGGGCCAGTGTGACATGGAGTGCAAAGATGGGATTGCTCTGCTGGAGCCCACTGACTTGTCTGAAGGGACTGTGCCAAAAGGACAAATTGTTAACTTGTAATAATGCCTTTTGATTTCATTTTTTTTTAAGGCAGCAATTCTTGTTTCTACAGATCTAACACATAGGACACAGTCCTTGTTACTGGCACTGTTGAATTTACCATAGTATGGAGGTGTCCCAGGTCCTCCCAGTTTGCTGTGTGGCTTGTTCTGGGGTGTTGCCTGTGGGCCCTTCTCCACCAGGAACTCCCCTTCCCCGTGGGGCTGGGGCGGCTGAGCTGCCCCCTGCAGGGTCCTGGGGAAGCTCCAGCCCCTGCCGTGCCTGCTGCTGGCCAAGTCTTGCTCCGTAGCTGTCAAACCCGTGTGGGTGGTCAGCAGCAGGCTGAGGAGCTGCTTTCCAAGGGCTGCTGCAGTTCACCCCTCGGTGGATCAAAACGGGGCCGCTGTTGGTGCCGCGGGCAGGTGCTGAGCCCGGGGGAGGGGCTCGGCTGTGGGAGAGGCCTGGGGCTGCTCTCCAATGGGAAAAGCCACCGCAAAATTTCTCCGAAAAGGGAAAAGCCACCACAAAACACTGCAGCACAACTGGTGCTGTGACCAACTTCCCTCTCACCTCAGGGTGAAAAGATGCCCTCAGGGACAGACAGGAAGGGCACAGCCTTTTGTTGTGCTGAAGAGTTGCACTGAAGGATAAACAATGACCCAGGAACAAAAGAAAGCAAAAATGTAATTTTTTTTTATCATGGAGATGGGGGATAAAGGGGCTGCAGGGCAGGAGGGGATGGGAGCTCTGCTCTGTGCCCACCTCCTCTAAGAGCAGCACGGGCCTGTGACCTCCTGACCTTGGCCAGAGCAGGATCTCCAGCTCCCACCCTGCCTGCTTCTGCCTCCTCGGGTCCCTGAGGGGCACCAACAGGGGCTGCCCTCAGCAGGGCACTGTCCAGATGAGCCTCTACAGCACCCAGATGGTGACAGCAGGTCAGCCAGCTGGGAAGAGCTCCCCAAGGGCCAGAACTGGACAGTGGAAGTGCCACAATGCCACCACCAATCTGAAATACCATTCCCTGTTCCTCAAGGCTAGTATTAAAGAATCTGAATAAGCAGTTGTCAGCTGACACCCTCAAATTTATGTTTCTGCCTTTATTGTATTCCATGTTAATGTCTGCAGTGAGCAGCTGCTGCTTAGGAGCAACATGACTCTGGTGGCCAGCAGCTCATCAGTGACCTCCCTCTGCTGAGGGGGAGTGAGAACTGGTGAGAAGCTGGAGAATCATCACTGGGACTGGGAACAGAGGAACTGGAGCAGGGCTCCGAGCCCTGGCAGATGTTGTGGTTATTTTCAGCATTAGGAAGCTAAGGGTCTCTCCCTGCCCTGGTGGGCAACCACAGCAGCAACCTGTGTTCTGAACCCCCTGAATCACACAGGGCCTTTGAGCCCCCAGGCACACAGTCCTGCTCTGGTGGCAACCTCCCCCAGCACAACCCCACCACCTCTGCACCCTCCTGCAGGGCCAAACCCAGCACCTCCTGCCCCAGCCCTTTCAAGGGGAAGATAGAAGTTTAGGGGTTTTTTTCTTCCCTATTCCCTGTTGGCTGCATCTTGTTGAGGCTGAAACCACAACCCTTGAGACAGCTACTTGGAAAAAAAATCACCAACCCCAGCAGGAAAAGCTAAAAACAGACAGTGGAAAGGAATAACTAAACAAAGTGAAGTGTCCCAGGGAAAAAGTGCAAACAAGTCTCTGGCCTTTAAGGGGTCACTGCTGCTGTTTGGTAGCCAACCAACTAATTACAGGTGATTAAACTCCAAGGAACAGACAGAGGTTTCTGAAATAACCGCTTTAAAAAAAACAAACCAACCAACCAGTAGGTTTATTGTAGGTCTGGAGAGGGGCACAGCAGGAGTGAGTGGAATGCCTACACATTGTCTATACAGAGTAACCCATCGCTTGGTTTAAAAAGCAGCGGCCAAAGTTGAATTTCATTCATCATGATGTTTTCTTCTGCTTTTTCTTTTCATTTTCTTCCTTCTCTTTTTCAATTTCAGCAACATACTTCTCAATTTCTTCAGGGTTTAGGATCTAAAACAGAAACACAGGTGACCCTCCAGACACCAAGACAATTTACAGGCTTTTATTTAAGC